TCGTGATTTTCTAGTCGTTCTTGTAACGTGGTCTTCACCCAGTCGAAGTCATTCCCGCTGAACGATATAAAGGCGTCGTATATCTTATTTGGATCCGAGTCATCAATGCGATCAAACGGGTGCCAGTTGAAGTGGGTGTACATGAAGACTTTGACTTCTCTATAATATTTGTACAAAACAATACCAACAATCAGTATTAAAGCTAGCAGACCACCAAGGGTACAGGCAGCTATGGTTCCTATAGGTACTGTCTTTCCTGTGTTCTTTTCCTTAATGGTAGCACAGATGAACTCGTCGTCCGGTAAACTGTAAATTGCTCGGCCAAGAGCATGCTCCGAGTTACAAAACACCTTTTCGATGTTTCGTATTCGACGTCTATTCTTCACCAGCCAGTGCTTCATCCATTTAGTCGTACAGTCGCATTTAAACAAGTTTTGCTCCAACGCCAACGTTGTAAAATTCAGAGATTCAATTTCCCTGGGTAGAGTTGTCAGGTTATTAGCATCAATGAGCAGAATCTCGACACGTTTTAATTTCTCCACAGTGGAGGCCTTCAGCCGCTCAACTTTGTTGTTTGTCATTTTCAGAACAGTCACGTTTTCCAAATAAGGAAATGCTGGAATATCCCGGATGTCATTGCTCATCAAGTTCAATTCAATAAGACCTCGTGGCATTAAGTTTGGTACTTCTGCAAGATTTTTTCCCGCGCAATTAACGACTATTATTCCATTGGAGCAGCGTTTCCGGCAGGTGCATTCTGTGGGGCAATTGCGATCTTCAAGCTCAGTCTCTCTCCGCACCCATTGATCTTCTCTTATTAATCGATTTGTCCTTTAGCTCGAGTGGCCAATGACATCGCCAGGTTTTAAACCATGGTTCTATCAAAGGATATTTTTGCGATATTTTTTCAATTTCTTGTGCCACAGCAGACATGATGCAGTCACAAGCTAACGGATTTCCACTCAAATTGATTAGGTATGCTTTCCAGAGATAAGTATATTTGGCTTGAGGTGGCTGCACAGGAGAGATTTCCTCGTCCTGTTTTATCCTGTTCAGTCCATCGTAATCTACTAATTTGGTGATGTTGTTGTTGGACAAATCGAGAACTATCAGCTGTTTCCCGCTTTTAATCGGGTCATTCAGCGGTATGGGATATTCATCTAACGCCTTGTCAAGATTTTCAAACGTTAACTGATTAAACGATAAATCGATTAATTTAATTTTTGTCAATAAAAATATCCATGGAGGAAAGGAAGACAGGCTGTTCTTGCCGAAGTAAAGCTCTTGCAAAGCAGAATCTTTTGGGAAAGGGTTGTCCTCAATTTTTGCAATGTTGTTGCCAAATAAATGCAACACTTCCAGGGTGCTTAATGAACTAAACAACCCGTTGGAATAGAATGTAGGTTGTTACGGTCTAGAGCAATCCTCTTGATCTTTCTCAGCCCTTTAAATATATTTTGGTGAATGACCGTCAAGTTGTTGAATCCAAGAATAATGTTTAGCAAGGAAGGTAAACCTTGAAACAGATTTTGAGGTAGCGAAGCCAAGTTATTTTTTAAGAGGTCAATCGTTTGAATTCCTTTTAAGTTGCGAAAACATGACGATCCAATTGCCTTTAAACCGTTTTCTCGAAGGCTTAGGACATGCAAGAATCCGCGAAACTCATGAGAAGTTAAGTCCTCAATGTTGTTATAGCCTAGATACAGTCCGCGGACATAAAGGTTGCTTTGCAGTTCAACTGGGAAATATTGCTCGGAATCGTCTGTTCTTCCCAATTCACGGTAGAGTTCTAGGGTGGAGTTATTCCAAGGAAATTCTGGAGGTTTTGTCAAATTGCACTTTACCAAGTAAAGCCCTTGCAAGAGAGGCATTGTAATCTTCCATTGTTCTGGAATCTCTTTAATCGGCGTATCCTCAAAGTAGATTTCAGCCATGTTTGGCCAGACGTTCTTGGTATCAGTGAGCATACGAGGGATGTTTTCAGGCAGACTGTTGAGAGCTGTGATAAACGTAATTTCTCTGAAGTCTCTTACATGGCTCTCACTTCCATGAGTTAAATTTGTCAAAGTGGATACACTCGATCATTTCGTATTCTTTCCTTTCAAACGCATTGTTCGGAAATCAGTTGCCTTGGCAAAGGCGACAAGGTTTCGCGTCTAAACTTTGCAGGCGCCCCGGAAAAACAGAGCTAGCAAAATATTTTTGTTGGCAGTGTTTTGCGGGTTGATGAAATCGAGCTCAATTGATGATGGGCACAAAAATGTGACACTCACACCAACTAAAGTATTGTTATCAACTTCAGCCGCATCTAGAGCCAAGTTGATGTCAAACGTAAACTTCACTCCAGACTCTTGGCTGATCAGCATACATTCTACGTATTTCCGCTGGAGAACAGCTGCTTGCTTTTTTTCTCCATTACTCAAATTGCTTGATCCCTTAGCATTCAGCCGACACGGCAGCTTGCTTTCGTTTTGACAGGTTGAAGTCGGGGCTAAACAAACTACAACGGTCAACAACACAACTACGTATCCACCCATCGTCTGAAATTAAATCAATGTTGATTTTCCTGTGACAAGCTCTATATAATTCTGTGGAGCACTGTTTGTTACACGTGGGCCATTAACAGGAAGGACTGCTCCCAAGCACAGTCGAAACAAGTCACCCAAGACGTACGGTAAGTCGTGACAATAGTGCGTCTACAAATTGAAGTAGTCTCTGACGCAGACTTCAAACGTTTATTCAAAGCTCGATACTGAAGGGTTTTTGTGACGAAAAACAGGAAGTTTTTCGGATTGGCTCGTTTATAATCTCTGCCGGTCAAAGCATTTTTAAAAGTAGCTACGTCACGGTTTGCGCATGAGATAAGATAAGACAAGATAAGAACTTTATTAACGTGTCGAAGTCGCTAGCATGCAATGTATACTAATTGGGGACACCTAACTACGATTACTTATTTAATAATTAATAAACTGAAAAATTTATCTTGAAAAATTTAGCCTACAAACTTTTCGAAGTTCGTCGTTTGTAATCTGTGTCAATCTTCTCCGTCTTTAACCATTCTTGTTCATTCATGGTTTATTATTATCTCTTCAAAGCTTTTCTATATTAGTGACCTCTTCTTTTCAGGTTTCCTTCAATGTAAAGGTAATTTTGTCCGTGGTTAAAATAACTCAAAATACCGTGACTGAGGTCCTATAACCACATGCAATTATTGTCAAACCGCAAAGCAGTATTACTCCAACACCATAAGTATGGAAGGGAATTACAATAACGATATTAGCTTGACCACGGCTTCCGTAACAACGAATGTATGACTGTCTAAGGCGTGTCGTCAACAATTCTATTTTAACAACCCTGACGTCTTTACAACAATTTTACCCATCGTCGCCCCTCGCAGTCGATTGAGAAACGCGTTATCATAAAGCTTTGAATGTACCCTGCCGTTTTTGTTAATTTATGGGTAGTTTTGCCGTTTAGAGAAAGGAATAACTTTCTACGGTTTAGTTCAAAACATAAGGTGGAGGTCTCCGGCTAACTGGAATCGTAACTTTTCAAGTTACACCAGATGACAGCAGGTACAAACAGTGGCACAAGTTCGCATGTGTCTCGAGCGTCACGTACTTCACGAACAGTAGCAAACTTCGCGCACTTCGTCTGCACCAGCAAACGGACACTGCTAGAAAGGCCGCTAGCATTGTTTTATAGCAAGGTGTAAAAAAAACTGTGTGGTAAAACAACACAGACACGTTTATGACCTCTAAAAATTTGCTATCACCATAGTCAAACAGATACTGTTTGACTATGGTGATAGCCATATATTGACTATATTTGACTTTAATATAATTTCTAGAGGTGAATATAAGAATTGGACATTCTGTTTGGTCGAAAAGCTCATCATATGACGCTATATTCACCCTGCTGGAGCTTGGTTACTAGGCTCGCCACCTTTACCATCTCGGCAAGTAAACATGGCGGACAATTGCTGAATGAAGTTTTCATTTATTCGAAAGACATCACTCCAAGTCCAGGATATTTGAAAGGATAGAAAATTTTTAAAATGACTGCTGTCGCCCTTGGACCAAAAATCTTTTCAAGAACTCGTATTCAAGGCTTTTAAGAATCGTAAACGCAGTGGTTGCGTCGATCACCAGCAGGTCAGATCGATTGACCGAAATTTATTTTTCTTCAGACTAAAGTTACTAATTTTTAGGCAATGATGACAACTGTGAATGAAGACAACAACCACAAAACAAACGTACCGGATGAATTTATTTTTCGTAGTGTTTCGCTCGTTTGTTTTACTGCCAAACTCGATGAGTAAATTGATTGACAATCGATGTACATGCAAGCTTATTATTAAAACTATGGCTGCATACGTGTATGCACACCAACAATTGCGTCTGTGCTTTTATATTTTAGTCCGTTATTTCGTAGTCCTTTATACTCACGTCTAATAATCATACTAAAACAATTATTCGCCTCAGGCTCAGTGAACTTTACTGAATATTCACCAAGACTTCGTCTCTGTGAATATTTACCAATGTTCACTTCGCCTTTGGCGAATAATGGTTAAATATTTGTAAAAATACCGAAAGTGAAAATGCGCTCTCCGTTTACTTTATCTAGGGTACGCTTGTATTACAGAAAAAGGTTCTTGCAAACTAGTCCAATTCTTGAAAGGCAAATGCGGCCACATGTCCGGCGAAACTCTACAACAAGTAACACGAGGCAGCCCATAGGGCCTTTGAATCAAAGTCACTTACGCCTCAAGAAATATGAATCACACAAGCAGTTACTCTTTTCTATTGTTCTTCGAATGCCTAATTTCAGTGCCGCTATTTTCTCTTTAATTTGGCTTTTCGGTTTGTCCACCGCCATTACGCATATGCGACGGCTCTACTGTTCAACAAGTACTATGGTGTCCGCTGTGTTATGGGCCATCTCCAGCGCCTCTTGTTGTAATATTTCTGCAGAGCTATCAATGTTCCCGCTTAAAGCAACGTTTTCGAAACTTCTCTCCTCAACTGATTCCGTCGACGAAGGAGGAGGCATCGCGTAATACAGCTTTTGCCAGAACCCCTTGTCGCTAACGCTCAAATACGTGTTGGTTCGAAGGTACAACTTAAATTCCTCATCCAGCTCTGTCGTGTCCACATCATCAAACAGAATAACTATCAGGTATTTCATGCGATCTTCCAACACTTTTCGATGAGCTTCACGAAACTCCATCAAACACCAATCGCTCTTTGCGTAGCTGGAAGACAGCACCACTAACATGCGTTTACTTTGATCCACGCTTTTGAAAATGTTTTCCACGATTGGCTCGCCAACTGGAAAGTCGCGGTGGTGAAAGCATAGTTTATAAGGGGGGTCGTGATTTTCTAGTCGTTCTTGTAACGTGGTCTTCACCCAGTCGAAGTCATTCCCGCTGAACGATATAAAGGCGTCGTATATCTTATTTGGATCCGAGTCATCAATGCGATCAAACGGGTGCCAGTTGAAGTGGGTGTACATGAAGACTTTGACTTCTCTATAATATTTGTACAAAACAATACCAACAATCAGTATTAAAGCTAGCAGACCACCAAGGGTACAGGCAGCTATGGTTCCTATAGGTACTGTCTTTCCTGTGTTCTTTTCCTTAATGGTAGCACAGATGAACTCGTCGTCCGGTAAACTGTAAATTGCTCGGCCAAGAGCATGCTCCGAGTTACAAAACACCTTTTCGATGTTTCGTATTCGACGTCTATTCTTCACCAGCCAGTGCTTCATCCATTTAGTCGTACAGTCGCATTTAAACAAGTTTTGCTCCAACGCCAACGTTGTAAAATTCAGAGATTCAATTTCCCTGGGTAGAGTTGTCAGGTTATTAGCATCAATGAGCAGAATCTCGACACGTTTTAATTTCTCCACAGTGGAGGCCTTCAGCCGCTCAACTTTGTTGTTTGTCATTTTCAGAACAGTCACGTTTTCCAAATAAGGAAATGCTGGAATATCCCGGATGTCATTGCTCATCAAGTTCAATTCAATAAGACCTCGTGGCATTAAGTTTGGTACTTCTGCAAGATTTTTTCCCGCGCAATTAACGACTATTATTCCATTGGAGCAGCGTTTCCGGCAGGTGCATTCTGTGGGGCAATTGCGATCTTCAAGCTCAGTCTCTCTCCGCACCCATTGATCTTCTCTTATTAATCGATTTGTCCTTTAGCTCGAGTGGCCAATGACATCGCCAGGTTTTAAACCATGGTTCTATCAAAGGATATTTTTGCGATATTTTTTCAATTTCTTGTGCCACAGCAGACATGATGCAGTCACAAGCTAACGGATTTCCACTCAAATTGATTAGGTATGCTTTCCAGAGATAAGTATATTTGGCTTGAGGTGGCTGCACAGGAGAGATTTCCTCGTCCTGTTTTATCCTGTTCAGTCCATCGTAATCTACTAATTTGGTGATGTTGTTGTTGGACAAATCGAGAACTATCAGCTGTTTCCCGCTTTTAATCGGGTCATTCAGCGGTATGGGATATTCATCTAACGCCTTGTCAAGATTTTCAAACGTTAACTGATTAAACGATAAATCGATTAATTTAATTTTTGTCAATAAAAATATCCATGGAGGAAAGGAAGACAGGCTGTTCTTGCCGAAGTAAAGCTCTTGCAAAGCAGAATCTTTTGGGAAAGGGTTGTCCTCAATTTTTGCAATGTTGTTGCCAAATAAATGCAACACTTCCAGGGTGCTTAATGAACTAAACAACCCGTTGGAATAGAATGTAGGTTGTTACGGTCTAGAGCAATCCTCTTGATCTTTCTCAGCCCTTTAAATATATTTTGGTGAATGACCGTCAAGTTGTTGAATCCAAGAATAATGTTTAGCAAGGAAGGTAAACCTTGAAACAGATTTTGAGGTAGCGAAGCCAAGTTATTTTTTAAGAGGTCAATCGTTTGAATTCCTTTTAAGTTGCGAAAACATGACGATCCAATTGCCTTTAAACCGTTTTCTCGAAGGCTTAGGACATGCAAGAATCCGCGAAACTCATGAGAAGTTAAGTCCTCAATGTTGTTATAGCCTAGATACAGTCCGCGGACATAAAGGTTGCTTTGCAGTTCAACTGGGAAATATTGCTCGGAATCGTCTGTTCTTCCCAATTCACGGTAGAGTTCTAGGGTGGAGTTATTCCAAGGAAATTCTGGAGGTTTTGTCAAATTGCACTTTACCAAGTAAAGCCCTTGCAAGAGAGGCATTGTAATCTTCCATTGTTCTGGAATCTCTTTAATCGGCGTATCCTCAAAGTAGATTTCAGCCATGTTTGGCCAGACGTTCTTGGTATCAGTGAGCATACGAGGGATGTTTTCAGGCAGACTGTTGAGAGCTGTGATAAACGTAATTTCTCTGAAGTCTCTCAAAAGACTCTCACTTCCATGAGTTAAATTTGTCAAGGTGGATACACTCGACCATTTCGTATTCTTTCCTTTCAAACGTATCGTTCGGAAATCAGTTGCCTTGGCAAAGGCGACAAGGTTTCGCGTCCAAACTTTGCAGGCGCCCCGGAAAAACAGAACTAGCAAAATATTTTTGTTGGAAGTGTTTTGCGGGTTGATGAAATCGAGTTCAATTGATGATGGGCACGAAAATGTGACACTCACACCAACTAAAGTATTGTTATCAACTTCAGCCGCATCTAGAGCCAAGTTGATGTCAAACGTAAACTTCACCCCAGACTCTTGGCTGATCAGCATACATTCTACGTATTTCCGCTGGAGAACAGCTGCTTCCTTTTTTTCTTCATTACTCAAATTGCTTGATCCCTTAGCATTCAGCCGACACGGCAGCTTGCTTTCGTTTTGACAGGTTGAAGTCGGGGCTAAACAAACTACAACGGTCAACAACACAACTACGTATCCACCCATCGTCTGATATTAAATCAATGTTGATTTTCCTGTCGGACAAGCTATATATATTTCTGTGGAGCACTGTTTGTTACACATGGGCCATTAACAGGAAGGACTGCTTGCAAGTAAGACGTACGCTAAGTCGTGACAATGGTGCGTCCACAAATTGAACTAGTCTCTGAATCAGACTTTAAGGTTTTATTCAAAGCTCGATACTGAAGGGTTTTTCTGACGAAAAACAGGAAGTTTTTCGGATTGGCTCGTTAACAATCTCTGTCAAAACATTTTTAAAAATAGCTACATCACGGTTTGCCCATCTTTAGCCTAAAAACGTTTCGAAGTTCGTCGTTTGTAATCTGTGTCAATTTTCTCCATCTTTAACCATTCTTGTTCATTCATGATTTATTATTATCTCTTTAATGTTCTTCTATCTTAGTGAACTGTTATTTTCACCTTTCCTTCAATGTAAAGGTAGTTTTGTCCGTGGCTAAAATAACTCAAAATACCGTGACTGAGCTCCTTTAACCACATGCAACCATTGCCAGACCGCAAAGCTGCGATATATCACCATTAACAGTATTACTACAACACCATAAGTGTGGGAGGGAATTGCAATAATGATATTAGCTTGACCACGGCTTCCGTGTCAACGAGTGTATGACTGTCTATTAAAGGCGTGTCTTCTACAATTATATTTTAACAACCCTGACGTCTTTACAACAATTTTATCCATCCTCGCCCCTCGCAGTCGATTGAGAAACGCTTATCGTAAAGTTTTGAAAGTAGCCTGGGGACTTTAGATTTAACCGCAACCTTTTCCATGATTACTTCCTGAGGGTCGTCCCTTTTTAGTAACTTAAAAAGTGTAGAGTATAGGGGAATCCTTGTTTACAATATTTGCCTCGTTAGCACAAGTTTCTGATGTTAGCACAGTTTCTGATGGAGCTACAAATAAATCAGTTCTGAATATAGAAAGGTCATAGCACGATTAAAACTGCCCATGAATATGAGCCTAATGTATTGAATACTTTTTGTGCAACACGGGTTTAAAACTTGAACTCAAAATTTTACAAAGAATGTATGAGCTCATTAACGCTTTTGCCACCCAGACATTTTACAGTTTTTGAAAGACAATATCTCCTTGAATACTACACACAAAGAGCTAAATATTTCACCATGTAATAAATTTCACTAGCTCTTTAGCTGCCCGGAGTCAATTCATATCTAACATGTCTCCTTCTGTACGCAAAGCCGTATGCAAATGAGCAAAAATGTAAACAATGACGTTAGCATGAATCTCCCTATATGCACCCAGAATGGGAAGATATACTATGATCACGGTAATGTGAAAACGCGTACATCAATATGGTTTGAGAAAAACTAACACACTTAACAGACAAAAGGATAGTAGCCAGAGCTGCTGAAATGAATTAACATTAGGAAAGTATACTTCATGTGCCGTCCTTGGTATCTGTTATTTCCCAGATGTATTTTTAAAATGTCGAATTACATTAGAGATCACTGTATACTATCGGGATTTACAAACAATCTTACAAGGAGAAAGCTTACGGCTATTTTCGTTACCTTTTCGAAGAATAAATATAGAGAAAACAAAAAATTAGTTCAGGGAAATGGTTTTCCTCGATTTTTAATCTTTTTCAGGTCTTCAGATTTTAATGCAAAGAAGCCAATTTGTTTTTTTTGTGTGTGTGTGGAGGTCAATCGTTTGAATTCCTTTTTTGCTGTGAAAACATGATGGCTCAATAATATCGTCAAAACCTCACACCGAAAGGCATTTCGACAAACAGGACGTTTTTCTGATTGGCTCAATTATAGTCTCTGGCAAAGTGTTCTGGAGACAAGGAGACAAGGAGTCTTGTCAGATCTCAAAGCTGCGACATAAAACTAGTTTCATAGACAATTTTTAACACCAAACCAGTGAGCAGCACTCTGCGAACTGTAGTTGTGAAAATTGTTTATTCTCCGACGCGATTCGTCTAACTTGCGCAGACTTCCTCAGGTAGTTTGACAAACATACAATACACTAACCGCCTTCCTAGCGCAAAGGCTTGGCCGGATTTACGTAAGGGAACAGGAAAAGCTTCGAAATAATTAATTAAATATTACCATAAAAAAGTCTTATAATTTCGTTATGACAATATTACGCAAGAGGATCTACACTCTTTTTTGTTATAAGAATATTGTTTTACCGGTCCAGGCTGAATATTCTTATTTTTCTGCCGATTTTAGGCTGAAAATATTCTTGTGGATATTCTTAGATTATGACTCATGACATTTCCGCTGAGGGATGTGTCGGGGTATGACACACATAACTTCTTGAAGAAATGCTTTGAACATTCGGCTAGTGCCGTTTTTGTTGATTGATGGATAGTTTTGCCGTTAAGAGAAAGGAATAACTTTCTACGGTTTAGTTCAAAACATAAGGTGGAGGTCTCCGGCTAAATGGAATCGAAACTTTTCAAGTTACACCAGATGACAGCAGGCACAAACAGTGACACAAGTTCGCATGTGTCTCGAGCGTCACGTACTTCACGCACGTCGCAATCTTCGCGCACTTCGTCTGCGCCAGAAAACGGACACTGCTAGAAAGGCCGCTAGCATTGTTTTATAGCAAGGTGTAAAAAAAAAACTGTGTGGCAAAACCACACAGACACGTTTATGACCTCTAAACATTTACTACCACCATAATCAAACAGATACTGTTTGACTATGGTGATAGCCATATATTGACTATATTTGACTTTAATATAATTTCGAGGTGAATATAAGAATTGAACATTCTGTTTGGTCGAAAAGCTCATCATATGACGCTATATTCACCCTGCTGGAGCTTGGTTACTAAGCTCGCCACTTTCATCATCTCGGCAAGTAAACATGGCGGACAATTGCTGACAACTGTGAATGAAGACAACCACGATAAAACAAACGTACCGGATGAATTTATTTTTCGTAGTGTTTCGCTTGTTTGTTTTACTGCCGAACTCGATGAGTAAATTGATTGACAATCGATGTATATGTAAGCTTATTATTGAAACTATGGCTGCATACGTGTATGCACACCAACAATTGCGTCTGTACTTTTATATTTTAGTCCGTTATTTCGTAGTCCTTAATATTCACGTCTAATAATTATACTAAAACAATTATTCGCCTCAGGCTCAGTGAACTTTGCTGAATATTCACCAAGACTTCGTCTGGGTGAATATTCACCAATGTTCACTTCGCCTTTGGCGAATAATGGTTAAATACTTGTAAAAATACCGGAAGTGAAAATGCGCTCTGCCTTTACTTTATCTAGGGTTACGCTTCCATTACAGAAAAAGGTTCTTGCAAACTAGCCCAATTCTTGATAGGCAAATGCGGCCACATGTCCAGTGAAACTCTACAACAAGTAACACGAGGCAGCCCAGAGGGCCTTTGAATCAAAGTCACTTACGCCTCAAGAAATATGAATCACACAAGCAGTTACTCTTTTCTATTGTTCTTCGAATGCTTAATTTCAGTGCCGCTATTTTCTCTTCAGTTTGGCTTTTCGGTTTGTCCACCGCGATTACGCATATGCGACGGCTCTACTGTTCAACAAGTACTATGGTGTCCGCTGTGTTTTGAGCCATCTCCAGCGCCTCTTGTTTCTGCAGAGCTATCAATGTTCCCGCTTAAAGCAACGCTTTCGAAACTTCTATCCTCAACTGATTCCGTCGACGAAGGAAGGGGCAACGCGTAATACAGCTTTTGCCAGAACCCCTTGTCGCTAACGCTCAAATACGTGTTGGTTCGCAGGTACAACTTAAATTCCTCATCCAGCTCTGTCGTGTCCACATCATCAAACAGAATAACTATCAGGTATTTCATGCGATCTTCTAACACTTTTCGATGAGCTTCACGAAACTCCATCAAACACCAATCGCTCTTTGCGTAGCTGGAAGACAGCACCACTAACATGCGTTTACTTTGATCCACGCTTTTGAAAATGTTTTCCACGATTGGCTCGCCAACTGGAAAGTCGCGGTGGTGAAAGCATAGTTTATAAGGGGGGTCGTGATTTTCTAGTCGTTCTTGTAACGTGGTCTTCACCCAGTCGAAGTCATTCCCGCTGAACGATATAAAGGCGTCGTATATCTTATTTGGATCCGAGTCATCAATGCGATCAAACGGGTGCCAGTTGAAGTGGGTGTACATGAAGACTTTGACTTCTCTATAATATTTGTACAAAACAATACCAACAATCAGTATTAAAGCTAGCAGACCACCAAGGGTACAGGCAGCTATGGTTCCTATAGGTACTGTCTTTCCTGTGTTCTTTTCCTTAATGGTAGCACAGATGAACTCGTCGTCCGGTAAACTGTAAATTGCTCGGCCAAGAGCATGCTCCGAGTTACAAAACACCTTTTCGATGTTTCGTATTCGACGTCTATTCTTCACCAGCCAGTGCTTCATCCATTTAGTCGTACAGTCGCATTTAAACAAGTTTTGCTCCAACGCCAACGTTGTAAAATTCAGAGATTCAATTTCCCTGGGTAGAGTTGTCAGGTTATTAGCATCAATGAGCAGAATCTCGACACGTTTTAATTTCTCCACAGTGGAGGCCTTCAGCCGCTCAACTTTGTTGTTTGTCATTTTCAGAACAGTCACGTTTTCCAAATAAGGAAATGCTGGAATATCCCGGATGTCATTGCTCATCAAGTTCAATTCAATAAGACCTCGTGGCATTAAGTTTGGTACTTCTGCAAGATTTTTTCCCGCGCAATTAACGACTATTATTCCATTGGAGCAGCGTTTCCGGCAGGTGCATTCTGTGGGGCAATTGCGATCTTCAAGCTCAGTCTCTCTCCGCACCCATTGATCTTCTCTTATTAATCGATTTGTCCTTTAGCTCGAGTGGCCAATGACATCGCCAGGTTTTAAACCATGGTTCTATCAAAGGATATTTTTGCGATATTTTTTCAATTTCTTGTGCCACAGCAGACATGATGCAGTCACAAGCTAACGGATTTCCACTCAAATTGATTAGGTATGCTTTCCAGAGATAAGTATATTTGGCTTGAGGTGGCTGCACAGGAGAGATTTCCTCGTCCTGTTTTATCCTGTTCAGTCCATCGTAATCTACTAATTTGGTGATGTTGTTGTTGGACAAATCGAGAACTATCAGCTGTTTCCCGCTTTTAATCGGGTCATTCAGCGGTATGGGATATTCATCTAACGCCTTGTCAAGATTTTCAAACGTTAACTGATTAAACGATAAATCGATTAATTTAATTTTTGTCAATAAAAATATCCATGGAGGAAAGGAAGACAGGCTGTTCTTGCCGAAGTAAAGCTCTTGCAAAGCAGAATCTTTTGGGAAAGGGTTGTCCTCAATTTTTGCAATGTTGTTGCCAAATAAATGCAACACTTCCAGGGTGCTTAATGAACTAAACAACCCGTTGGAATAGAATGTAGGTTGTTACGGTCTAGAGCAATCCTCTTGATCTTTCTCAGCCCTTTAAATATATTTTGGTGAATGACCGTCAAGTTGTTGAATCCAAGAATAATGTTTAGCAAGGAAGGTAAACCTTGAAACAGATTTTGAGGTAGCGAAGCCAAGTTATTTTTTAAGAGGTCAATCGTTTGAATTCCTTTTAAGTTGCGAAAACATGACGATCCAATTGCCTTTAAACCGTTTTCTCGAAGGCTTAGGACATGCAAGAATCCGCGAAACTCATGAGAAGTTAAGTCCTCAATGTTGTTATAGCCTAGATACAGTCCGCGGACATAAAGGTTGCTTTGCAGTTCAACTGGGAAATATTGCTCGGAATCGTCTGTTCTTCCCAATTCACGGTAGAGTTCTAGGGTGGAGTTATTCCAAGGAAATTCTGGAGGTTTTGTCAAATTGCACTTTACCAAGTAAAGCCCTTGCAAGAGAGGCATTGTAATCTTCCATTGTTCTGGAATCTCTTTAATCGGCGTATCCTCAAAGTAGATTTCAGCCATGTTTGGCCAGACGTTCTTGGTATCAGTGAGCATACGAGGGATGTTTTCAGGCAGACTGTTGAGAGCTGTGATAAACGTAATTTCTCTGAAGTCTCTCAAAAGACTCTCACTTCCATGAGTTAAATTTGTCAAGGTGGATACACTCGACCATTTCGTATTCTTTCCTTTCAAACGTATCGTTCGGAAATCAGTTGCCTTGGCAAAGGCGACAAGGTTTCGCGTCCAAACTTTGCAGGCGCCCCGGAAAAACAGAACTAGCAAAATATTTTTGTTGGAAGTGTTTTGCGGGTTGATGAAATCGAGTTCAATTGATGATGGGCACGAAAATGTGACACTCACACCAACTAAAGTATTGTTATCAACTTCAGCCGCATCTAGAGCCAAGTTGATGTCAAACGTAAACTTCACCCCAGACTCTTGGCTGATCAGCATACATTCTACGTATTTCCGCTGGAGAACAGCTGCTTCCTTTTTTTCTTCATTACTCAAATTGCTTGATCCCTTAGCATTCAGCCGACACGGCAGCTTGCTTTCGTTTTGACAGGTTGAAGTCGGGGCTAAACAAACTACAACGGTCAACAACACAACTACGTATCCACCCATCGTCTGATATTAAATCAATGTTGATTTTCCTGTCGGACAAGCTATATACATTTCTGTGGAGCACTGTTTGTTACATGTGGGCCATTAACAGGAAAGACTGCTTGCAAGTAAGACGTACGCTAAGTCGTGACAATAGTGCGTCCACAAATTGAACTAGTCTCTGAATCAGACTTTAAGGTTTTATTCAAAGCTCGATACTGAAGGGTTTTTCTGACGAAAAACAGGAAGTTTTTCGGATTGGCTCGTTAACAATCTCTGTCAAAACATTTTTAAAAATAGCTACATCACGGTTTGCCCATCTTTAGCCTAAAAACGTTTCGAAGTTCGTCGTTTGTAATCTGTGTCAATTTTCTCCATCTTTAACCATTCTTGTTCATTCATGATTTATTATTATCTCTTTAATGTTCTTCTATCTTAGTGAACTGTTATTTTCACCTTTCCTTCAATGTAAAGGTAGTTTTGTCCGTGGCTAAAATAACTCAAAATACCGTGACTGAGCTCCTTTAACCACATGCAACCATTGCCAGACCGCAAAGCTGCGATATATCACCATTAACAGTATTACTACAACACCATAAGTGTGGGAGGGAATTACAATAACGATATTAGCTTGACCACGGCTTCCGTAACAACGAGTGTATGACTGTCTATTAAAGGCGTGTCTTCTACAATTATATCTTAACAACCCTGACGTCTGTACAACAATTTTACCCATCTTCGCCCCTCGCAGTCGATTGAGAAACGCGTTATCGTAAAGTTTTGAAAGTAGCCTGGATACTTTAGATTTAACCGCAACCTTTTCCATGACTACTTCCTGAGGGTCGTCGCTTTTCAGTGACTTAAAAAGTGTAGAGTATAGGGGAATCCTTGTTTACAATATTTGCCTCGTTAGCACAAGCAATTCAGTTTCTGATGGAGCTACAAATAAATCAGTTCTGAATATTGAAAGGTCATAGCACGATTAAACCTGCCGATGAATATGAGCCTGATGTATTGAATACTTTTTGTGCAACACGGGTTTAAAACTTGAACTCAAAATTTTACAAAGAATGTAAGAGCTCATTAACGCTTTTGCCAACCAGACATTTTGCAGTTTTTGAAAGACAATATCTCCTTGAATACTACACACAAAGAGCTAAATATTTCACCATGTAATAAATTTCACTAGCTCTTTAGCAGCCTGGAGTCAATTCATATCTAACATGTCTCCTTCTGTACGCAAAACCGTATGCAAATGAGCAAAAATGTAAACAATGACGTTAGCATGAATCCCCCTATATGCACCCAGAATGGGAAGATATACTATGATCACGGTAATGTGAAAACGCGTACATCAATATGGTTTGAGAAAAACTAACACACTTAACAGACAAAAGGATAGTAGCCAGAGCTGCTGAAATGAATTAACATTAGGAAAGTATACTTCATGTGCCGTCCTTGGTATCTGTTATTTCCCAGATGTATTTTTAAAATGTCGAATTACATTAGAGATCACTGTATACTATCGGGATTTACAAACAATCTTACAAGGAGAAAGCTTACGGCTATTTTCGTTACCTTTTCGAAGAATAAATATAGAGAAAACAAAAAATTAGTTCAGGGAAATGGTTTTCCTCGATTTTTAATCTTTTTCAGGTCTTCAGATTTTAATGCAAAGAAGCCAATTTGTTTTTTTTGTGTGTGTGTGGAGGTCAATCGTTTGAATTCCTTTTTTGCTGTGAAAACATGATGGCTCAATAATATCGTCAAAACCTCACACCGAAAGGCATTTCGACAAACAGGACGTTTTTCTGATTGGCTCAATTATAGTCTCTGGCAAAGTGTTCTGGAGACAAGGAGACAAGGAGTCTTGTCAGATCTCAAAGCTGCGACATAAAACTAGTTTCATAGACAATTTTTAACACCAAACCAGTGAGCAGCACTCTGCGAACTGTAGTTGTGAAAATTGTTTATTCTCCGACGCGATTCGTCTAACTTGCGCAGACTTCCTCAGGTAGTTTGACAAACATACAATACACTAACCGCCTTCCTAGCGCAAAGGCTTGGCCGGATTTACGTAAGGGAACAGGAAAAGCTTCGAAATAATTAATTAAATATTACCATAAAAAAGTCTTATAATTTCGTTATGACAATATTACGCAAGAGGATCTACACTCTTTTTTGTTATAAGAATATTGTTTTACCGGTCCAGGCTGAATATTCTTATTTTTCTGCCGATTTTAGGCTGAAAATATTCTTGTGGATATTCTTAGATTATGACTCATGACATTTCCGCTGAGGGATGTGTCGGGGTATGACACACATAACTTCTTGAAGAAATGCTTTGAACATTCGGCTAGTGCCGTTTTTGTTGATTGATGGATAGTTTTGCCGTTAAGAGAAAGGAATAACTTTCTACGGTTTAGTTCAAAACATAAGGTGGAGGTCTCCGGCTAAATGGAATCGAAACTTTTCAAGTTACACCAGATGACAGCAGGCACAAACAGTGACACAAGTTCGCATGTGTCTCGAGCGTCACGTACTTCACGCACGTCGCAATCTTCGCGCACTTCGTCTGCGCCAGAAAACGGACACTGCTAGAAAGGCCGCTAGCATTGTTTTATAGCAAGGTGTAAAAAAAAAACTGTGTGGCAAAACCACACAGACACGTTTATGACCTCTAAACATTTACTACCACCATAATCAAACAGATACTGTTTGACTATGGTGATAGCCATATATTGACTATATTTGACTTTAATATAATTTCGAGGTGAATATAAGAATTGAACATTCTGTTTGGTCGAAAAGCTCATCATATGACGCTATATTCACCCTGCTGGAGCTTGGTTACTAAGCTCGCCACTTTCATCATCTCGGCAAGTAAACATGGCGGACAATTGCTGACAACTGTGAATGAAGACAACCACGATAAAACAAACGTACCGGATGAATTTATTTTTCGTAGTGTTTCGCTTGTTTGTTTTACTGCCGAACTCGATGAGTAAATTGATTGACAATCGATGTATATGTAAGCTTATTATTGAAACTATGGCTGCATACGTGTATGCACACCAACAATTGCGTCTGTACTTTTATATTTTAGTCCGTTATTTCGTAGTCCTTAATATTCACGTCTAATAATTATACTAAAACAATTATTCGCCTCAGGCTCAGTGAACTTTGCTGAATATTCACCAAGACTTCGTCTGGGTGAATATTCACCAATGTTCACTTCGCCTTTGGCGAATAATGGTTAAATACTTGTAAAAATACCGGAAGTGAAAATGCGCTCTGCCTTTACTTTATCTAGGGTTACGCTTCCATTACAGAAAAAGGTTCTTGCAAACTAGCCCAATTCTTGATAGGCAAATGCGGCCACATGTCCAGTGAAACTCTACAACAAGTAACACGAGGCAGCCCAGAGGGCCTTTGAATCAAAGTCACTTACGCCTCAAGAAATATGAATCACACAAGCAGTTACTCTTTTCTATTGTTCTTCGAATGCTTAATTTCAGTGCCGCTATTTTCTCTTCAGTTTGGCTTTTCGGTTTGTCCACCGCGATTACGCATATGCGACGGCTCTACTGTTCAACAAGTACTATGGTGTCCGCTGTGTTTTGAGCCATCTCCAGCGCCTCTTGTTTCTGCAGAGCTATCAATGTTCCCGCTTAAAGCAACGCTTTCGAAACTTCTATCCTCAACTGATTCCGTCGACGAAGGAAGGGGCAACGCGTAATACAGCTTTTGCCAGAACCCCTTGTCGCTAACGCTCAAATACGTGTTGGTTCGCAGGTACAACTTAAATTCCTCATCCAGCTCTGTCGTGTCCACATCATCAAACAGAATAACTATCAGGTATTTCATGCGATCTTCTAACACTTTTCGATGAGCTTCACGAAACTCCATCAAACACCAATCGCTCTTTGCGTAGCTGGAAGACAGCACCACTAACATGCGTTTACTTTGATCCACGCTTTTGAAAATGTTTTCCACGATTGGCTCGCCAACTGGAAAGTCGCGGTGGTGAAAGCATAGTTTATAAGGGGGGTCGTGATTTTCTAGTCGTTCTTGTAACGTGGTCTTCACCCAGTCGAAGTCATTCCCGCTGAACGATATAAAGGCGTCGTATATCTTATTTGGATCCGAGTCATCAATGCGATCAAACGGGTGCCAGTTGAAGTGGGTGTACATGAAGACTTTGACTTCTCTATAATATTTGTACAAAACAATACCAACAATCAGTATTAAAGCTAGCAGACCACCAAGGGTACAGGCAGCTATGGTTCCTATAGGTACTGTCTTTCCTGTGTTCTTTTCCTTAATGGTAGCACAGATGAACTCGTCGTCCGGTAAACTGTAAATTGCTCGGCCAAGAGCATGCTCCGAGTTACAAAACACCTTTTCGATGTTTCGTATTCGACGTCTATTCTTCACCAGCCAGTGCTTCATCCATTTAGTCGTACAGTCGCATTTAAACAAGTTTTGCTCCAACGCCAACGTTGTAAAATTCAGAGATTCAATTTCCCTGGGTAGAGTTGTCAGGTTATTAGCATCAATGAGCAGAATCTCGACACGTTTTAATTTCTCCACAGTGGAGGCCTTCAGCCGCTCAACTTTGTTGTTTGTCATTTTCAGAACAGTCACGTTTTCCAAATAAGGAAATGCTGGAATATCCCGGATGTCATTGCTCATCAAGTTCAATTCAATAAGACCTCGTGGCATTAAGTTTGGTACTTCTGCAAGATTTTTTCCCGCGCAATTAACGACTATTATTCCATTGGAGCAGCGTTTCCGGCAGGTGCATTCTGTGGGGCAATTGCGATCTTCAAGCTCAGTCTCTCTCCGCACCCATTGATCTTCTCTTATTAATCGATTTGTCCTTTAGCTCGAGTGGCCAATGACATCGCCAGGTTTTAAACCATGGTTCTATCAAAGGATATTTTTGCGATATTTTTTCAATTTCTTGTGCCACAGCAGACATGATGCAGTCACAAGCTAACGGATTTCCACTCAAATTGATTAGGTATGCTTTCCAGAGATAAGTATATTTGGCTTGAGGTGGCTGCACAGGAGAGATTTCCTCGTCCTGTTTTATCCTGTTCAGTCCATCGTAATCTACTAATTTGGTGATGTTGTTGTTGGACAAATCGAGAACTATCAGCTGTTTCCCGCTTTTAATCGGGTCATTCAGCGGTATGGGATATTCATCTAACGCCTTGTCAAGATTTTCAAACGTTAACTGATTAAACGATAAATCGATTAATTTAATTTTTGTCAATAAAAATATCCATGGAGGAAAGGAAGACAGGCTGTTCTTGCCGAAGTAAAGCTCTTGCAAAGCAGAATCTTTTGGGAAAGGGTTGTCCTCAATTTTTGCAATGTTGTTGCCAAATAAATGCAACACTTCCAGGGTGCTTAATGAACTAAACAACCCGTTGGAATAGAATGTAGGTTGTTACGGTCTAGAGCAATCCTCTTGATCTTTCTCAGCCCTTTAAATATATTTTGGTGAATGACCGTCAAGTTGTTGAATCCAAGAATAATGTTTAGCAAGGAAGGTAAACCTTGAAACAGATTTTGAGGTAGCGAAGCCAAGTTATTTTTTAAGAGGTCAATCGTTTGAATTCCTTTTAAGTTGCGAAAACATGACGATCCAATTGCCTTTAAACCGTTTTCTCGAAGGCTTAGGACATGCAAGAATCCGCGAAACTCATGAGAAGTTAAGTCCTCAATGTTGTTATAGCCTAGATACAGTCCGCGGACATAAAGGTTGCTTTGCAGTTCAACTGGGAAATATTGCTCGGAATCGTCTGTTCTTCCCAATTCACGGTAGAGTTCTAGGGTGGAGTTATTCCAAGGAAATTCTGGAGGTTTTGTCAAATTGCACTTTACCAAGTAAAGCCCTTGCAAGAGAGGCATTGTAATCTTCCATTGTTCTGGAATCTCTTTAATCGGCGTATCCTCAAAGTAGATTTCAGCCATGTTTGGCCAGACGTTCTTGGTATCAGTGAGCATACGAGGGATGTTTTCAGGCAGACTGTTGAGAGCTGTGATAAACGTAATTTCTCTGAAGTCTCTCAAAAGACTCTCACTTCCATGAGTTAAATTTGTCAAGGTGGATACACTCGACCATTTCGTATTCTTTCCTTTCAAACGTATCGTTCGGAAATCAGTTGCCTTGGCAAAGGCGACAAGGTTTCGCGTCCAAACTTTGCAGGCGCCCCGGAAAAACAGAACTAGCAAAATATTTTTGTTGGAAGTGTTTTGCGGGTTGATGAAATCGAGTTCAATTGATGATGGGCACGAAAATGTGACACTCACACCAACTAAAGTATTGTTATCAACTTCAGCCGCATCTAGAGCCAAGTTGATGTCAAACGTAAACTTCACCCCAGACTCTTGGCTGATCAGCATACATTCTACGTATTTCCGCTGGAGAACAGCTGCTTCCTTTTTTTCTTCATTACTCAAATTGCTTGATCCCTTAGCATTCAGCCGACACGGCAGCTTGCTTTCGTTTTGACAGGTTGAAGTCGGGGCTAAACAAACTACAACGGTCAACAACACAACTACGTATCCACCCATCGTCTGATATTAAATCAATGTTGATTTTCCTGTCGGACAAGCTATATATATTTCTGTGGAGCACTGTTTGTTACACATGGGCCATTAACAGGAAGGACTGCTTGCAAGTAAGACGTACGCTAAGTCGTGACAATGGTGCGTCCACAAATTGAACTAGTCTCTGAATCAGACTTTAAGGTTTTATTCAAAGCTCGATACTGAAGGGTTTTTCTGACGAAAAACAGGAAGTTTTTCGGATTGGCTCGTTAACAATCTCTGTCAAAACATTTTTAAAAATAGCTACATCACGGTTTGCCCATCTTTAGCCTAAAAACGTTTCGAAGTTCGTCGTTTGTAATCTGTGTCAATTTTCTCCATCTTTAACCATTCTTGTTCATTCATGATTTATTATTATCTCTTTAATGTTCTTCTATCTTAGTGAACTGTTATTTTCACCTTTCCTTCAATGTAAAGGTAGTTTTGTCCGTGGCTAAAATAACTCAAAATACCGTGACTGAGCTCCTTTAACCACATGCAACCATTGCCAGACCGCAAAGCTGCGATATATCACCATTAACAGTATTACTACAACACCATAAGTGTGGGAGGGAATTGCAATAATGATATTAGCTTGACCACGGCTTCCGTGTCAACGAGTGTATGACTGTCTATTAAAGGCGTGTCTTCTACAATTATATTTTAACAACCCTGACGTCTTTACAACAATTTTATCCATCCTCGCCCCTCGCAGTCGATTGAGAAACGCTTATCGTAAAGTTTTGAAAGTAGCCTGGGGACTTTAGATTTAACCGCAACCTTTTCCATGATTACTTCCTGAGGGTCGTCCCTTTTTAGTAACTTAAAAAGTGTAGAGTATAGGGGAATCCTTGTTTACAATATTTGCCTCGTTAGCACAAGTTTCTGATGTTAGCACAGTTTCTGATGGAGCTACAAATAAATCAGTTCTGAATATAGAAAGGTCATAGCACGATTAAAACTGCCCATGAATATGAGCCTAATGTATTGAATACTTTTTGTGCAACACGGGTTTAAAACTTGAACTCAAAATTTTACAAAGAATGTATGAGCTCATTAACGCTTTTGCCACCCAGACATTTTACAGTTTTTGAAAGACAATATCTCCTTGAATACTACACACAAAGAGCTAAATATTTCACCATGTAATAAATTTCACTAGCTCTTTAGCTGCCCGGAGTCAATTCATATCTAACATGTCTCCTTCTGTACGCAAAGCCGTATGCAAATGAGCAAAAATGTAAACAATGACGTTAGCATGAATCTCCCTATATGCACCCAGAATGGGAAGATATACTATGATCACGGTAATGTGAAAACGCGTACATCAATATGGTTTGAGAAAAACTAACACACTTAACAGACAAAAGGATAGTAGCCAGAGCTGCTGAAATGAATTAACATTAGGAAAGTATACTTCATGTGCCGTCCTTGGTATCTGTTATTTCCCAGATGTATTTTTAAAATGTCGAATTACATTAGAGATCACTGTATACTATCGGGATTTACAAACAATCTTACAAGGAGAAAGCTTACGGCTATTTTCGTTACCTTTTCGAAGAATAAATATAGAGAAAACAAAAAATTAGTTCAGGGAAATGGTTTTCCTCGATTTTTAATCTTTTTCAGGTCTTCAGATTTTAATGCAAAGAAGCCAATTTGTTTTTTTTGTGTGTGTGTGGAGGTCAATCGTTTGAATTCCTTTTTTGCTGTGAAAACATGATGGCTCAATAATATCGTCAAAACCTCACACCGAAAGGCATTTCGACAAACAGGACGTTTTTCTGATTGGCTCAATTATAGTCTCTGGCAAAGTGTTCTGGAGACAAGGAGACAAGGAGTCTTGTCAGATCTCAAAGCTGCGACATAAAACTAGTTTCATAGACAATTTTTAACACCAAACCAGTGAGCAGCACTCTGCGAACTGTAGTTGTGAAAATTGTTTATTCTCCGACGCGATTCGTCTAACTTGCGCAGACTTCCTCAGGTAGTTTGACAAACATACAATACACTAACCGCCTTCCTAGCGCAAAGGCTTGGCCGGATTTACGTAAGGGAACAGGAAAAGCTTCGAAATAATTAATTAAATATTACCATAAAAAAGTCTTATAATTTCGTTATGACAATATTACGCAAGAGGATCTACACTCTTTTTTGTTATAAGAATATTGTTTTACCGGTCCAGGCTGAATATTCTTATTTTTCTGCCGATTTTAGGCTGAAAATATTCTTTTGGATATTCTTAGATTATGACTCATGACATTTCCGCTGAGGGATGTGTCGGGGTATGACACACAACTTCTTGAAGAAATGCTTCGAACATTCGGCTAGTGCCGTTTTTGTTGATTTATGGATATTTTTGCCGTTTAGAGAAAGGAATAACTTTCTACGGTTTAGTTCAAAACATAAGGTGGAGGTCTCCGGCTATCTGGAATCGTAACTTTTCAAGTTACACCAGATGACAGCAGGCACAAACAGTGACAGAAGTTCGCACGTGTCTCGAGCGTCACGTACTTCACGCACGCCGCAAACTTCGCGCACTTCGTCTGCGCCAGCAAACGGACACTGCTAGAAAGACCGCTAGCATTGCTTTATAGCAAGGTGTAAAAAAAACTGTGTGGCAAAACCACACAGACACGTTTATGACCTCTAAACATTTGCTATCACTATGGTGATATATCGACTATATTTGACTTTAATGTAATTTCCAGAGGTGAATATAAGAATTGGACATTCTGTTTGGTCGAAAAGCTCATCATATGACGCTATATTCACCCTGCTGGAGCTTGGTTACTAAGCTCGCCATCTTTGCCATCTCGGCAAGTAAAAGTGGCGGACAATTGCTGAATGAAGTTTTTATTCGAAAGACATCACCCCAAGTCCAGGATATTTGAAAGGATGTAAAATTTTTAAAATGACTGCTGTCGCCCTTGGACCAAAAATCTTTTCAAGAACTCGTATTCAAGGCTTTTAAGAATCGTAAACGCTGAAACGCAGTGGTTGCGTCGATCTCTCAGTTACTTCGCGCGCTGTGAATGGTCAATTTAGCGGGCTGTATTCTCCTGTGCGGCCCACTAGAATTTAAAGTTGGTTTTGTTGCCAAACTGTTTCGTGATTTATCGCCGAGTGTTCTTAACTTTTATAGCAAGTGAAAGTTTAAAACTTTCTTATACTCTGAATTGTGCAGTAAAGCGTGCTAACGAGTTAAAAACAATTTCAAACGGATT